GGGGGGGGGGCGCAAAATTGCACCTTGCCCACCTTGACTACAATCCTAGCACCGGCCCTGCTAACACATTGTCATTATCAGTAGGTGAGCGGCTATACTGAGAAGATATGAAGTTTCTCCTAATTTTGCTTTTGCTCTTGTTCTTGTTCTTCCCCAGCGCTGCCCCTGCAGGGTGCTCTGCGGTACGTGTATCTTCACCTCCTGGCTCTCTCCTCACTGCCGGGTGCTCGGAGCCCCCCCACCATCTCTTGTTGCACTATCCTGGACTCCTGCCTGGGCCCTCAGGGCCGCCCCGCCAGGCTCAGGCCCTTGTGTAGCCACACCGGCTGCACCGGCGGTAGTTCCGACCCTGTTCTTCCCGATTATGGCTTGGCACTTTTGCCTTGCAGCACTGAGGGTCCCCGGTTCAAATCCCACTCAGGACACTATCTGCAAGGAGTTTACATGTTCCCCCTGTGCTTGTTTGACTTTTCTACGGTTTCCTCCCACACTCCAAAGACATGCTGGAAGGTTATTTGGCTCCTCTCTAAATTGGCCTCTAGTATATATGAGATAGGGACCTTAGACTGTAAGCTCCTTGAGGGCGGGTAGTAATGTGAATGTGCAACTGCGTAAAGCTCTGCGTAAATTGTCGGCGCCATATAAATACCTGAAATATATGATTGCTTCAGATAAACACAAATCTGAAGAGTTCCATGGGAAAACCAAGCCCTAAGAGAAACAGTGAAAGGAAATACTGAATTTGCCATAGATTTCTTCATACATGTCAACTCCATATCTTCTAAAGGTAAGAATTCCACTGCCAAAATGTAGTTTTGTTGCCTCTGTGCATTATTTCCGTTGTCACTGGCTGACCAGTCAAAGACCCACCAGGAAATCTTGAAAGTTTTGAGCCTGAACAACACATTTTGCAAGGAAAAGGAGGTCTATCGTGCTTATTCCAATCTTCTCCAGGTGTTGAATGGACGTAAAAGCAGCCTTCAGGTCGATATAGGCAATGCCACCTTTCTAGTGAACACCCTGACCATGCAGAAAAGCTTTAACCATGATGTACAGCACCATTAACATGACGAAATTATGGAGGAGGATTTTAGTCAACCTAAAAGAAGTTGAAAACATAGAAAAAAAATAGTTCATGAAAAATAAAACTGAAGGAAAAAAAATCCAGGAACTTATCAAAGACCTTTCTGAAGTTGATAAGATGGTGCTGCTCAACTATGTTCTGTTTAAGGGCAAGAAGAGAGCAGCGGCAGCTGAAGAGAATTCCAATATGTAGAACCAGTTCACAAGTTGTTCTCATTGTTTTTATTGTTTTGAAGAATAATGTGAAATGTTTGCCCACTGTTCTGATATGAGGAAGAGAACTTCTGCCTGACTGATGCAAACACAATGAGTGGAGCAAGTGATGTCAAAGCAGCTCACATAACTGCATTCTCAGCTTGTCCTCCCATGCATGAGCCCTCTAGAAAAAGAGTAGCCAAACTCGAGGCTTGGTTAAACTACAAATACCATCAGGCATTGCAAGAGTCTGATAGCTACGGGCATGACTTCCAGGGGCATGATGGTATTTTTAGTTCCACCACAGCTGGAGAGCTGAAGTTTGCCTAACCCTGCTTTAGATCAATGAAACTGGTCGGGAGAACCTTGACTGGTAAACCTACATACAAAAATGATCTGTCTGTAGTGATGCTATTCAAGCATAAGGGGGGGGGGGGGGGGGGGGGGATGTAAATGCGCCATTGTCAGATATTTCACCTTCGTTAGAGCTCCACAGCAGCATGAATGTGGGTGGAAAGAAAACATATGCCATCTTTCTAATAAACACACTGATCTTGCAGAAGAGCTTTAAGCCGTGCTGAAATTATGGAGAAGGGAGAAGGGTTTTAGTCACTTAAAAGAAGTTGAACGCAAAAAAGAAAAAAATGAGTACAAAAAAGTAAAACTGAAGGCAAAATTGAGGAATCAAAGACCAATCTGAAGACGATAAGATGATCCTGATCACGTCTTGTTTAAGGGAAAGAAGAGAGCAGCGGCAGTTCACAAGTTGTTCTCATTGTTTTTATTGTACTTGAAGTATAATTTGAAGTTTCCGTAGCTGCCTGACATGGTAATCACAGAAAGGTAGGACATTATTTAATGAATTCTTCAATCCTCATCGTTCTATGTCTCAACTAGCAACTAGCAAAATTTGAACAAAACCCAGCTTACAACTGGTGTTCCAATTCTCCCCAAAGATGTTCAGTAGGGTTGAGGTCAAAACTCTGTGTGGAACACTCAAGTTCCTCCACACCAAACTGGTCAAACCATGTCTTCATGAAGTTGGCTTTGTACACGGGGACAGTCATGGTGGAACAGAAAAGAGCCTTCACCCAACTGTTCCCACAAGGTTGGAAGCGTACAGTTGTCTAAAATGTCTTTGTATGTTGTAGTATTGCCAATACCCTTCACTGGAGACACCTGAACTCCATCATTTGGAAGGGGAGTCCACATACTTCAGGCTACACAATACACATAAACATGAACATTGCGTACATGAAATCTGCAGAGGATGATAGCAATATTCAACTTCCCTGTGTGGGTGTTGAGTCTACTGAGGCTTATACTCGGCATCATTATATTTTAACACCCTGGAGTTGGGTTTTAAAGCAACTGTACTGATAGAAGTATGCAGGCTTCCCTTGGTGACCTCCTTGTAAGATGTTGCTCCCTTGGCTCTCATGCTAATGGAATGAGCCACTTTTTGAGCCTTTGACAAGGAACTGGTATGTAGTTCCTGTGTATTGATTTCACCGGGTGAAGCACATGCTTGGTCATGCTTGTTGCAGCAAACTAGAAATCTCTCAAACTCCAGCTTTCTACTGTTGACATGTTTCAACATTACGACACTTCAAACACACGGCGCATTCAAGGTGAACAGATTCGTGCCAATTGCATTTGTAACTAACATTTTATTTAGGACAGGAATTGTGAAATGTCACTGCTGAGAGTGCATCTTTTAGCCCACTCATTGTGCAAACATTAATTCGAAGTTCTCCTAAATTACTGAGCAAAGGGTGGATATCGAGACTGCGAGAAAATCGTCCGGTGCTTACAAAGGGATTTACCTCTGACGCTCACTTTGCACACGTAAGCTTGTCTGGTTGGTACTGGTAAGGGGTGGTGCTTGGTGAGGGGCAGTGATTGCGGCTGACTGGTTTTGCTGCAAAATTACCAGTTTTACAATTGGCGAAATGTTATAAATATGGAAACTCTCAATTTTGCTGATTGAGCTGCTTAGATGAAATTTGCTGGGAAAAAGATAAACTCTTCTGTGTGTGTGTGTGTGTGTGTGTGTGTGTGTGTGTGTGGAGGGGGTGGGGTGGCATTCAGGATAGTTTTGTGTATTTCATTTAATGATTTGTAGTAATTTTCACTAATTCAAATATTTACTATAAATTATAAAAATATACACATAATCATATTAGATAACATTAACCACTTGCTGACCAGGTGTTTACACCCCCTTCCTGTCTCGGCCATTTTTCCGTATTCTGCGCTGCGGTACTTTGACTTTTTTTTTATTTTTTACTATAAACAAAAAATTTACCAAAATTGTTTTCCCTACCTTATGTTATGAAACATTTATTATTGCTCAATTTTTGGGTAAAATATAAAAGACGAGGTCATGTCGGGTAAATAGACATCAAACATGTCAAGTCTTAAAATTTTGTGCGCCCGTAAAATTGTAAAGAACGACTACACCCAAGATTGGCCATAGGCGACGCTTTAAAAGCTTTTACCGCTCATCAGTTTAGTGTTATCAGGGATTGATGTCCCTAAAATTATTTCTTTCACTTCGACGTTTGCGGTGATATGTAACATGTGCGGTGCAATTGTCATTTTCGCAAATAGGCGCACCTGCCACATGCTTTGTATGCGTCAGGTGATGGTTTGTATGTGCGTGTATGTGGGGGTGGGGGAATTTTTTTTTTTTAAATTGTGTTTCTGTAATTTTGTTATATGTGACTTTTTTTTTCTCAACTTTTTTTATACTTAACTATATTGCTATCACATAAGGGGGCTAAAAATTCCCCTATGTGATATCACAGACACAATGACAGGTCCGCTTTATGGAGACAACAGGGGTTTATTAGACCCCTAATGTCACCTATGGACCACCAAAGAAGCCAATGAAGCAGAGATCTGCTTTACCAGCTTCTTTTCCGGCAGCCAGAGAAATGACAGGTTGATGGTGGAAGTGATGTAATACACATCACTTCTGCATTCAGTGATCAGATGGGAGATCAGCTGGTGGATTTGTGTTGATGTCCCTCCGATCTCACTGCAGAGACCTGACATGACCATTTCGGGCCTGTAAGAGGGACACCGGAGCCCGGGATAGTTGTCAGCAGCTCCACACTCCCACACACCATACAAGCGATTGGGCAGACAGTTTTGCAACAATGTGATTGACTAGAGAATTGTCACTGAATTCAGGAACGTTAAAGTCCTCGATAGATAGACAGACAGACAGACAGACAGATAGATAGATAGATAGATAGATAGATAGATATTTTTTTTTTCTTGAGCAAACTAAATTCTAACAGTGAATGTGGCTTTTATTTGGAAAAATTCCATTCATTCCAAAATCAAACTTTTAAAAAAACTAAATTTCGATCGACATTCGTCAATTGTCTGATGGGATTATCAAATGGCAATGAATGATCTTTCTTACGAATGTTTATTCGTAAATCTACTAGTTTATGGCCATCATAAGATGGGGTTTCCCTTACCTTGGAGAGATTTCTTCTCATTTCCTGTTGTGTTTCTAGGTCAAGAAGTGACCTAGAAACAAAATAAGAGATCCAGAGGTTCTAGAAAAGAATGTTCATTTTTTCTTTATCTAAACTAAAGCACAAAAACTAAAAAGAAAGATGTATATATATATATATATATATATATATATATATATATATATACATATATATATATATATATACATAAATGTATATATTTATGTATATACATACATAAATATATACACTTTATACAGTATATGTTAGGATTAGGTGAACATTTTATTTTTATAGTGTGCTAAAATATTTCTCATAATTTCCTCCATGTTATGTAGAAGTCTAGAGAACATTTCCTGTTACAAGTCCAAGAGGTGGATCAGTTGTTAAAATCAAAGACACAACTAACACATTATCATTTCCTGCAGGTGAGCCTCTATACTGATAGGACATGAAGTTCTTCCTAATTTTGCTTCTGCTCGTGCCGGTCACAACTGCTTCAGATGGACAAAAATCTGAAGAGTTTTGTGAAGAAACCAAGGTTGCAAAAGAGCTGAAAAAAGTCCAAGCCCTCGGAGAAACAGTGAAGGGAAATTCTGAATTTGCCATCAATTTCTTCAAGCATGTGACCTCCATGGCTTCTCAAGGCAAGGCTTCCACACCCACAAATGTTGTTTTTTCACCCCTGAGCATTTCTTCTACTTTTTCCATGTTGATGCTGGGGTCTGGATCAAAGACCCACCAGGAAATCTGGGAAGGTTTGAGACTGAACAACACACATTGCGAGGAAAAGGAGGTCCACCGGGCTTATTCCAATCTTCTCCAGATGTTGAATGAACCAAAGAGCAGTCTTAGGGTTGACATCAGCAACGCAATCTTTTTGCAAGACACACTGACCTTGCTGAAAAACTTTGAAGATAGTGTACAGGATCTTTACCATGCCGAAATTAGGAAAACCAATTTAACTGACCCACAAAAAGCTAAAGAAGAGATAAATGAATATGTGAAGAATAAAACTGAAGGCAAAATTGAGGAACTTGTCAAAGACCTTTCTAAAGACTCTAATATGGTCCTGATCAACCTTGTTCTGTTTAAGGGTAAGAAGAGCAGTGGCATCTGGAGCAGATTATCATATATCGGGTGATACCAGTGTTGTCACCCCTGCCCAGTTCCCCCCTGTCTGACCACAGGACACTTCCCCTTATTTAATGGAAATAATGTAAGTAGAGGGGAACTGGGCAGGGCTGAAAACAAAAAAAAATCAGGAGCTTATCTCATAGAAATGCGAAGGCTCAAAAAATTTGTTTTGTTTCTGATTACTTCAATTTTTTTTCGGATTTCGTATCCAAAATCCAATTCAGTTTGTTTCGGAATTCGGATTGATTCAAATTTTTTGTTTTTTTAAGTTCACATTGATCTGAATTTTTCGTTTTTAGATTTATAATGTATTCATGTTTTATTAGGAGAATGGCAGGAACCATTTCATCCAGGTAGTACAAAACTTGAGAAGTTCATTGTTGATAAGACCACGACGGTGGATGTTCCAATGATGCTTCGCTTGGGTCAGTACAACTTTTACCGTGACACAAAGCTTTCTTGCACAGTGGTCGAGCTTCCATACAAGGATAGCGCATCTATGATTATTGCCATCCCCGAGCCAGGCAAGATCCATGAGTTAGAACAAAGATTGTCCACTGAGACCATACACCGATGGAGGACGTCATTTAGAAAAGGGTAAGTGAAGAAGACTGCAGGCAGATTTTATAACAACACCCTTCCGTTCACCTATTTATTAAAACATAAAATAAGTATTACTCATGGCTCCCTGCAGGGATTCCCCCCTCCCTTTTCCGATCTTCTAGCGCTAACTGGCGGAACGGTCGGGGGAGGGGGTGGGTACAGCTGGCTCTGCCTCTAGATAGGCAGAGCAAGCTTTCAATCACGCAGCTAGGCAGATTTAGACAGTAATGTCGGGATCCGTCCCTGCTGCGGCGGTCTCAGTATACCGGGAGCTGTAGCTCGCGGTATACTGAGCTTTGGGTCACGGGAGGATGCTAGTTTGTGTCCTCCCGTGAACCTTAGGAGAACTATGGGGAAAAACACTTACCCTATAGTTCTCCTTTAAGAAGGGCACCAGCACTGATGTGATGTTAGTTAGTAACCCAAAGGGCAGGCAGGACAAAGGCAGGCAGTTGGCAAGGCAAGCTTTTCTCCTGCCCTTGCCTTGCTAACTGCCTGCCTTTGTCCTGCCTTCCTGTCAGGTTCTGAAGTGTTCTCAGTGCTCCAATGCTATGCCATGTAGCCCAGAGGTAAATATAACACAAGAAGTATAGTTTATAGCAATGGTAGACAAACTTCAGTCCTCCAGCTGTGATGAAACTTTAATTCCCATCAAGCATCTGCCTCTGATAGTCATGTCTGTGAATGTCAGAGTCTTGCAATGCCTAATAGGATTTGTAGCTGCACCACAGCTGGAGGGTCCGAGTTTGCCTACCCCTGGTTTATATTGTAGTTTTCTAGCTAGGCTTCCCACAGGCCATATAGTATAGATGTATAGATGCCATTGGGTCATTATGACACTCAGGCAACTGGCATTGCCAAAAGGAGTGTTTGGCAATTACAGCATCCATGTTTCTCTCGACAGGTTTCTTTACAGCTGGCCACACGTTACTATCTATTCTATACCATCTCCTTTATATCTACCAACAATTTTGTAGTGGAAGAACCCATGTGATTGGGTATAAATAGGATGATTTAATTAGCTAAGCCCCCATACTACATAGTTGTCATCAAAGCCCAATTCCGGTACAGCAGGGCCCTGCCGCAGAAAAAATAAACCTGGTATTGGACTTAAAATCTAAAGTAGATTGTGCAGAGCCAGTGTGGCTAGCCATAGATTATTCAGCACTAATTTTAGGGCTCTACCAAAATGTCCTGTTTTTTCAGTTTTTGCAAATTTGGTTAATGCATGGCTCCACAATTCCTTTGGTGAGTCAATAGCTCCTCCTTATCAGTGTCTCAACTGTGGAGGAGGTGGTTGGAATTGTCCTTTTTTATCATAATGACTACTGTAGCTGTCAGTATTTGCCCGGCCATTTGAGCTTCACCATATTTTTTTTACTTCACAGGCCCATTGAACTTTCCTTACCCAAATTTTCTATCAGTTCAACTATAAACCTTGAGGATGCTTTACATCAGCTTGGCATCAATACTGCTTTCACCAATTCTGCGGACTTCTCCGGAATCACTCAGGACGTTGGCCTCAAATTGGATAAAGTAAGAGCCCATTCGATTCTTTTTCCTGTTACTTGGTCCGTAAACATGATGTCACCTCTTACCTCCCATCCTCTAATAACAGAGATGATAGTTTTTCCATAGGAGAGCAATGAAGGTTTATCATTTTAAGAAATCTAACAAGTACAAGAATTGGAGAGTTTGAAATAATGGGTAAAAGCACATGTCTATAACCACAGCTTTTTGTAGTTCTGGATAGAGTGGGGAAGGGTTGGAGTCCCTGTCAGGTTTGTAATACTTGTATATAGGCTAAAGCTGGTTATAGGGTGACAAAAATGCCAGATTCCCCTCACCTGCACTACCACCTTTTATAATTATCAGATGTACTGTAGGTAAGACTCTGTGATGGGTAGACTCAGCCAGAACTTCAGACTTGGAGTTCTTGGCACTGGAGTTTTTGAAACTACAGAAAAGAGTTGATTCAACCCATCAATGTCCATCCTTACTGTCACGTACCTTAGGGGAGTCTGAGATGTCGAGGGCGGCCTCTCTCACTTCTCTGGTCTTGGGGCTCCTGAATGGGTACAGGAGCACTGGGGCACAGAGGGGCAGGAGTGCCAGTAGTAGATGAATTAGATGAGCAGGAGCAGCAGACAAGAATAGCAGGGTAGTCAGGACAGGCCGAGGTCATCAACGTGCAGGCAGCGAGGTACAGAGGATGAGGCAGGAGGATGGTCTGGAACAAGCCGAGGGTCAATCACTGGAGAGAAGCAGAAAGGTCAAGCCAAGCCGGGTCAAGATAACAGGAACACTTCAGGAGCAGGATATAGGAACACAGGGAAGCTGACGATCTGACAGCAAAGGAGGTTTGTTAGTCACAGCCTTATGTAGCCCAGAGGGCGCCAAAAACTCAAACAACACATCGGCGCACGCCCGCGCGCACGCCGGCGATGAAAGAATCCTGGCTCTGGCTTCCTGACACTTACCCTAAAAATACCTCCAATAACAGCTATTTGTGTTTAAAATGGCCCTAAAATTAAATCTTCTTCTCCTGCATCATCCCAACACACGGACAACTCCTAAATCTGTCAGAGTGCCAGGGATCAGATTTACACATTATCAGATAATCCAGAGCCAAAATAAAAAATATAAACAATGATATCTACAAAATTCAACAGCCTCACTGAATCCTCTATGCATATCATCCTATATGCAAATAATCATTTAGATTGGACCGTTGCATTTGAAATGGTCACCAGGGCAAAATGTTAGGGGACATCTTCATAGTGTGGACACAGATAACAATGAAACCCTTGAACAAGCAGAAATGGGATGCTGGGCTTAAATTATCAGAAAATTGGTCAAAACCATCTTCTTTTGCGGGAGATTAGTCATAACTATATTCTTCTGCAGAACATTATTTAGAACCATCTTCTTCTGCAGAAAATTGGCTAGAACTAGGGATGCACCGATAAATCGGCTCTCAAAACATATCAGCCAAAAATGGCACTTTTGGCAACATGCCGAAAGTGCAATTTTTGTGCCAATACAGCAGTGCATCCGTGATTTCTCTCCCCGCCCGGTCACAGGAGACTGAGCTTTCCTCCCGCTCCACTCGCTCAGCCTCCTGTGACAGCGTGTCATGAGGGAGAGCGGGTACAAGGAGTCGGTGATCAGTGATCGCAGAGTGTTTGAACATAATTGAAGACGTGGTATGGTTACTATATCCTCAATTATGAATGAATGGGAAGTGATCTACATCTCCTCCTGTTCATTCATGATTGTGGTTATAGTAAACATACTCTGTCCTCATGTTATCAATGAACAGGAACACTCAGTATAGAGGATTCCTGTTCATTGATAACAGGGGATGCAGAAAAAGAGATTGAGGACTTTTTGTCCTCAATCTCTTTTTCTATTTTTAAATAAAAATATCAGGGGTCTGTTTAGACCCCCAATATTTCCCCAAAGCACCTAAAAGTAAAGTAAAAAATACAAATATTTAATAATGAATTAATAAATACAAATAAATAAAAAAATAAAAATGTTTATAAAAAATAAATAAAAATAAAATATTTGAAACATTTGAAAAAATTAAAATAAAAAACATTTTCGGTTTCGGCCTGACAATTTTTTTTTATTTCGGTTTTGTTTCAGTTTTGAAATTTACATTTTGGTGCACCTCTAGTTAGAACCATCTTCTTCTGTAGAAGATCAGTCATAACTACAGTGCCGGTGCTAGGATTCTTGCCTACACAGGCAATGTGCATTTTTGCGCCCCCCTCCCCGACCCCCTGTAGCGCTGGGCCTGCTTGCGCTATGTTTTTTTTTTCACTTATCTTCGTGCCTTTAGCTTTAGCTGGCCGGCGACTGACAGAGGTGCCGCGCGTGTCGGGATCCTCTGGCAGTCGCCGGCCAGCTAAAGCTAAAGGCACGAAGATAAGTGAAAAAAAAAACATAGCGCAAGCATCGGGGGATTTTGGCAAGTACAAGTACTTGCCAAAATGCCCTGTTTTTTCCGCCCTCACCCTGCAGCGCGCCCTCAGGCGGCCACCTGACTTGCCTTGCGGCCCTGCATAACTATATTCTTCTGCAGAAGTTCGATCAGAACTATCTTCTTCTGCAGGAGATCAGTCAGAAACATTTTGATTTCAGCTGTGGGTGTCTGGCCAACAGTAAGTAACAGTACTGGTGGAACTTATTAAAAAAAAAAATGCAAACATAATTGTATATAAGCTTCTAGGTCTTTTCTGTATTTACTGACTTCTCCCATAACCTTAATGCCAATAATCCTGCAGAACCAAAGCGGAGCAGGTTATTGACTGATGCTATTATTAATTATATTCGCTGATTATTGGCTGATGATATTATGTATTTTATTATATTTTAGGCAATGCACAGGACTATACTAGATGTGGATGAAAAGGGGACAGTGGCTGCCGGAGCAACCACCTCGGAGATGGTTCCAATGATGCTATTTCAAAGGTTAATCTTCAACCGTCCATTTGTTTTAATAACCTCTGATAAAAATACTAACAGCATTCTTTTCATGGGGACTGTCATGAATCCTGCACAGAAATAAAACACACCTAAGCCCCCCTGACACCACTGTAACCATTGTAACATTCTGATGAATTAAATAAAATTCCATAAATAAAAGCTATATACACTGGATTGTTTGTCAAATACAGGTGGCCCTCGTTTTACAACGGTTCAATTTGCACTGATTCAACAGATCCCTTTTCTGGGAGTGTTGCAAATTGAAACCAAATATATAATGTATGTCAATGGGAAGTGAGGGAGTTAGGTTCCAGGCCTCTCTTAACACCTTGCCATCCTCCCATTGAAAATAAAATGGGTGGACGGCGGATGTTTCCCGGTGGGGTCATGTAAATGTAGTCATCTTGTTTTCTGCTTGTGCGCACGAGCAGAATACCGCCGGCGGATCGCTTGTAATACCATGTAATACACTAAACCC